TAAGGACGCAGAAGAAATGAAACCTGGCAATTCAAAAGAGGCAATTCCCTGGCATTTCTCACAATTTGTTCACTCGAAGCCCGCCATTCTCGGAAGCAAGCAGACCGGGGAATGATCTTTAAAGGTCATTCCCCGGTAAAGATTAAAATTACTCGTTGGTGGATCTTGGTGGATACATCTGCATGTATAGACCATTTCTCGCTCTCAATTGTTTATTGTAGACTGACGCGAGGAGAACTGGAACTCAGTAAATTATTTACTTGAAGCACCCTTCTTTTAATAATTTCAGGAAAATATATATTTGATGTGCTTGACCTCCCCAGTGATGTCAGCGCTCCTGAGTGATGTCATGTAAAAAAATAAGCGTGAATATCGAAGTTTCGGAAGATTACATAGCTCTTACTCATCTAACAAAACAAAAGTAAGGGGAAGAGGGAAATGTCGACTCACCGGTTCGAGGTGGACGCAGAGAATGGTTTCTGTCAAGATTGGGTCCTGACATTATGTAAGATTGCACTACATTGCATACGATTCGGTTAATGAAAACGAAAACATCATTCAACTTATGCCGAGTCTGGTGCAACTTCGGGTAACACAACACGCCACGCCGTTCGAAACATGGCGGCATGGAAGGAGATGATGCAATCGGTCTGTTGCAGCAGCTCATACTAAACAGTACTCAGAAGCGAATCTGCGGAATGATGAAAATTTCGGAATATCTGGAAGCCCGGAGATGGGCTCATACTCACAAGTGCGGAGGAGACACTCAGCTCGGGCACCGTAGATGGACTGATACTGCGATGGACCGAGAGGAGAGCACGTCGAACCTCCTATCGCATGGGGAGGGGGGCACTCACGTCTCGGAACAGGGCTGTTTCAGTCAGATTTCAGCAGGCATTGGGAAAGAGTTTTCTGCGAGTATCTTTTTTTCATATTTTCTTCTGTTCCGTGCATTCCTTTTTTTTGGGTATATTTTTTTAAAATATGGGGAAAATATATGAAGTTCCATATAATTTTTTTTGCTTGACTTGGTCAGGACCGAGTTTCTCCCCATTAGGCGATTCTATGCAATTATTTCCTAGTGTAGTGCCAGGCCTTTTTCATACTAGTCGGTTGCCAGATGTGCAAATGTGATGGTAGGTAGTTGAGCTCACAATTATTCCTTCTTAATATAAAAGAAAATGAAGATATTGTTCCACTATATGTTCTAAGTTAGCCCAATATTAGTTTTGCTCAGCAAATTGATATTGGAGACGAATAAGACTTCATATTGTGACGTCATCCTAAGCAACCAAGGCGAGCAACTGGAGCAGAGTCGTTTTAGGCAGGTGAGTAGCTCTCCTCCATCGGCCTGGTCGGTGGCAAGACATTTTGAGCCAGCTCCCTCTCTTCTTCCATTTGGACTCCATCTTCAACCTGGGACGTTGAGAATGAGAGTTTCGAGGGAATTTCCGTCTGTGATCTTTCTGAGGGCTTCCTGTAACCATCCGGACACCCGACAACTGTACAAGTCTTCCATCTTCCTTCATCCACCCTGTTGTCTGAGTTGCTTATGAGGCTCATGTTTTGAGGGCATGCTCATGGCCTGTTAACTAAAGTTGTACAAGGCTGTTAGGCTCAGTCAAGGGATCTGCGGGTGTCCTTAGGGTACATGGCCTACGCCCATCAGCTAAAGTAGTGCCAGACTGTTAGGCCTAACCCTTGGCCCAGTCTTTCGTTCCGTCACATCTGTGATCGGCCTAGGCTTTGTCTTCTTTTGTCTTTCATTAATTTTTTTATTTACTTTTATTAGCTTTAAATTTAATGGAAGACTTGGAAGTCTCAAGTTAAATAGATTAGTTGGAAAGAGCCAATAGCCCTTTCATTTGAAGATCCACGCTTTGAGGCTGATATTCTTCGAGGAAGTCTCGAGCTGCTTCCGGCCGGTCCAGTCAGAGTCTCGCGATGACAATATCCGTTCCAAAACCTTTAAAACGTCTCGGCATGCCAAAACAAGATTCGGTTCCCCTGGAATTCCAAAGCGTGCCTGTTCGCTTGTCCTGATCTCCGCGGATTTGAGAAAGTCGCGGGAATCAGGAGACAGGAGACGCAATGAAACTTGCATCGGCTCTTTCAGCGATTGAAGCGACATGACCTCGCATTTCCTAATCCGGCTCTGCGCTGTACGAGGACGCCGAGCATACAGAAGGGTGCCCGAAGAAAATTAAAACGATTTTGCCATTGATGGCCATTCCTCTCGACTATTGCTCTGCACCACAACTTCCATTCTGCCAAGGCTTTCTGAATAACAGATGGGTCCAAGTTCTCCCACTCCTCCCTCACAATTTTCCAGGGCTCTGCCCCTTGTCGGGGAATGTCGGCGTGCAAGTGCTCGCTCGAGAAGCCAAAATGCACAGAAGTCCATCGGAGCTACATCTGGTGCTTTGACAGGGATCTCGCCAAATGATATAGCCTTCACTCCCGTCTCACTCTCCAAATTATGGGGGAACGATTTGGGAGGGTGGCTTCATACCTTAGTGAAGCTTGATGAAGTGAAATCTTAGTAAAGCTCTAAGTTTGAAATATCACTACCATACATGCGAGGGATCTATCCTCGGAGCAGAGGTGCCAGAATATTCTCTTGATAATACTTTGCATTCACCCTAATTTTGGGATTCACTCTGTGGAGGTTGAATTTTCCACGGTGCATACAACACCGACCACCATGAAACCTGCAGAAAACTTCCTTATATCAAGCATGCCAATTCTGGAAGTCTCGACATCCCCTCGTGATGTGATAATTTCCCGGTTTTTGCCACTGTCACTCAGGTATACATAGGCTTCATCTAGATTCTAGAGTCACAAGATATTTGAACGACAGATGGCGCTTGTGTAAGTTTCGGTAGGTGGTCTTCTTTCCCTTATGTGTTTCTCACGAAGAGCATGCACCTGTAGCTCCCACTTCGATTCTTGATTCAAATATTGCCTGATGATATTGAAAATTGTTCCCTTAGACACTTCATACTGCTTTGCTAATAGCCACTGGGGGTGGGATTCTCTTGCCTGACGCAGGCTTCTACTTTCTGGATGAAGTCCTTGTTCAGGACAGGACGCGGACGGGACTTTCATGGTTTTTCACCGCCATGCAGTCGATCTTTTCGACATTCACAGACTTCTCGCATAGTGCGACGCACTGTCACTTCAGATATTGACCATTCTCTTGCAGTGCGCTTTTCCACAATGATACAATGCGAAATCCCCATTTCGGAAAGAGTTTATACGTATTTCTCGCAACGTCTACGTTCTATTGCCATTCCCAATAGGAGAATCTTTGAGTAAAAATTGAAACTCATTGCAGAGACCTTATATGTTCAACGTGTATACTGGCATCAACAGCCTCGGGCAGGAAAACTTGCCATAAGGATTCAAAGGCGTTTCATTTTTCCTTCGGCACCCTCCATAGATCGCGCTGGAAAGGGAGCCTAAGAGGACGAAGAGGTTCTAGCGACGCCTCATAGATGGCGCCACGGAGCAATTTACACACTCCTGGTTAAGGTTTGCCCCGTATCAGCCAGGACGAGTGAAGATCAGAGACAGAAAGACTGTGGAGAAGGAGATACAATCGTCTGCCGCTTTAGAGAAGTAGGAGGTGCAAAAAGTTATGGAATGCATGGAGAAAGTTATTGAGACCGTGTACCGTTAGTTGATCTTTGAATTACCCGATGATGCTTTTGCCCAGTCCCAGTTGTTGTCAATGACTTTCTTATATTTTTTGGAAACGAGCAGTACCTTTCAGAGGGTAAATGACATTGCTTTAGTGATATAAATGGGGCTTGAGTGCATTTTGGAATTGCGATGCGGAAGGGAGAGAATGAGTTTCGCGACGGCTCCGCACTTCTGGAATCCCCTTTCCTCCCCCCCCCCCCCCTGCCCCCCTCCCTTCTCCTTCCTCCCCTTCAGGCATGTCTGCGTCAAATGTGACACCGTTTCCCCTCTCTTCAATCAGGTTTTCAGAATTGTTTCTGTTCTCGGCTTGTTGGGAAAAGGAAACGGTGTCGCAATCGTCGCCCAATCGCTTCGTGCCGGTCCTCTTGCGACTGGAATAAACTCAAAGATGTCTCCTGAATTTTAGTGCCAGAGGTGCCACAAATCAGATACCGGTCACCGTAGGCACGGTCAAGTGACTGCCTACGGGGAAACGAGGGTCAGTCGTGCTCGTCGGCCGACTCCAGACGAGACAAAGTCCTTCGCGCTCTTGTCCAAGCGGAGAACGCGATCGAGAGTGTGGGCGTCAGGGCCAAGGTTTCCTCGTTCGTGCCGAACGGCACGAACGAGGTTAACCGGGTTTAACCGGGTTTGAAGTTCGAGTCCGCATGCAGCGGCAACAGGCCCAATGTGCATGTCTCACCCACTCCCCGCCTCTCGCCGCAGGCCCTTCTTTGTAAAGGTCGGATAAGTGGCCAAATCATAGAGTGCATATAGATGTCTCTGGGGAGGCCTTCGCTGCCTCGAGCGATAAAAGTGCCTCGGTATTCTGGGGTTCGTGCCCGCGTGAGGGTCCCTAGGGCATGAGTCCCGGGGTATAAAAGACATCTGGTGGCTTGTTATCAACAACACTTCCATGCGGTGTGCTTCGTGGCGGTGGAATCGGGAAACGACTCATTCTGGGATTCGATCCAAAGGGATCCCTCAACTTAACACGCGTGTCTAGTCCGCTGCTCAGCCATGGAAGAGTTGTTGGGTGTGTCTTTTTCTCCAGCCGCTAGCAGCTGCAAGCGAAAAAGACGCGTTAGCTAGGCACGACCACGTCGTCGAATGACGTCACTCTTGGGCAAGCAGCCGGCAGCGGAACATAGCGAACTATGGGAGCGCTGAGCAGCTCAGCCTGACGTCATGGGATGCTGGAGGCCTCAGCAGAGCTAGCAGAGCCGCTAGGAAAAAAGACCTGCCCATTAGGCCGCCCGCTAGGTGGAGGATCGACAGCGACATATATATTGTGACCCTGTCAATGAATGGGAATCGAGCGGAGTGGTAAACCTCTAGTTACACTCTCTACTCTATGCTTTCTCTATTGGCCTGCTATCATCTCCCTCGTGCGACTCCAGTCCTAAAGGCCCTGTTACAATTGGCGAGTGCTCGCTAGGGCCACTTGCTTAGTGTAACACCCCACTCGCTACCACTCGCTACGAGTTTGAAAGATTTCAAACTTCAGGCGAGTACTCGCTAGCAAGAACCAATCAAAAGGCAACCTCAAGATGTTCAATTCAAGAAGCTCATCCAGTGGAAGCAAAAACGGCGAGCATATTCCGCTGTAGAATTTAAATTCGAGTCTCTGTAAAATTATGCTGGAAAAGGATATACATTTCTGACAATCCGAAGATTGCGGAAAATTCGAATACAGCGTTTGCATGGAATCTAAATGGAAATTTTCAAAGGAAACTTTTTCATAAAAAAAAAAGAAAAATTCCTGCAGCTTCATCGATTCGGCTTGCCGTCGCAGACGGACTGCTCGAGGGTGTCACAGTTCCATTCTTTGTCCTTTCCTGAGGCATATAATCCCTTTCACATGCTGGGAAAAACCGCCGGTGCGAGAGACCGGTTGGGGTCTTCACCTGTCAACTATGTGCGTCCTCACGCCACATCTCCCCATCCCTGTCAATTTCAAAGGATGCGACGGTGAAAATCAGATAAAAAAATCTTTATTGGTAATCAAACAAATTGATACATGCATGATAGAGATCAAATCAAGCGATAAAAATAGCATGATCGAGCTCGACTACGTTAGTGCGATCGTCGAAAGGGATAAAATAAAGTTGAGAGAATCAATGAGAAATATCAGGAAGAATTTCACGATCGTGAACTGTCACGAGTGCTGGCCGGTCTCTTGGTGACGAAACTGAGAAAAATGAGACCTGATGTATTGACCCCCGTAGAAGAACCAGGTTCGCGTCTCTCGGATGTGCCTCTCGGACGTGGTCGATCTCCACTGCCTCCCCGATTCTCGTTCCCTTCCGGCTGATCTTGGTGGTGGAGGAGAAGACGTCGGAGTCGAGGGTGAAGAACCGGCTGGAGGAGGCAATGACCGGATGGAGGGTGAAAGAGAGGATGACCGGTTGGAGGATGGAGGAAAGGGTGTCGACGTGGCAAGCCTAGTCGTAGCCATGGATGGCAAGTCAGTAGAGAGGGCTAGAGGTATAATCGAGTCATTCCCGTTTACAACCCGCGACAAGTAACTGGAACGAGACAGAGGACGCTCAGATTTCATTCATTCCGATCGCATGCCACAGAGTTTCGAACGAGAAAATCCATCTCGACAGTGTTGCTTACTTGTGTGCCGAATGAGGATTGTTCTGGTACTCTAACCAATTTTCCGGTCGTGCCTTGAGAAGTCTCTCAGGCTCTCCAGAAATGAATCCATGTATTACGAGCGGTATCTCCTCCTGTGCGATTTCTCTTCCTTCTCCGGTCTCCAGAGCTTCCATTCCTGCAATACAATTCAGATCAATTGCTCCACAACCTGTTCACGGCATGCATAGGCAGATGAGTTTCAGAATGTGAGTAACTTTCCCCCTTTTTTATCTTTTGTAAAACTTTCTGAGAAATTGGTATGGTCATTAACGCAAGCTGAATGAATAAATAGTTCGATTAATAGCAGTTCAAGTTCTTTTTTTTTACACGAAAATTCGTGAGTGCAATTGAATATCAACACAAACAGTGCTAATCAATCCAACAACGACAGGGGAGAAAAATCGAGAGTGAAATGACTTGTTTTTATATGTAGTACAGTACAGTATACAGTTTGTATTTTTTTCTTTGCTAAAACATAAAATCGGAGTTTGTTGCACTGAAGTTCATTTGCAGTCACGGGCGCACGTGCAAAAATCGCATGCAACAAATAGCTCCTTAAAGGTCAAGTTCCATTCAAGGCCCACCTCCATCGAGCTGTTGAGGTCCGTTGCGGGTGGGGGCAGGCAAGGGCATTCCCTGAAAGAGGAACGAGGATGTGGACGACCAGGAATCGGGGAAAGTGGGAGCTCCAGCCGATCGTCCATGGCTTTCCTCGTCTGTCCTCTTCGGCTTCTTTCTTCTCTTCTTGTACCCTAGAAATCGCGTTGTTTGCAATTAATTTCACTCAAAGAATCATGGCCAGCCAGAAGCCGAACTGTTTACTAGAGAAAGTTAAAAAGTAAGTAAACGTGAACCCAGGGAAAACGTTACTGAAAGTGAAGGAGGAAATTATTAATGCAAATGAGGAAACAATTTATGAGTTTATACGAATGAATAAACATAGGCTACGGCGATAAGAATCGAGATGATTGGTGATGTTTCATCGTAATGACTACATTTCTTTGCTCCGACGACATCAAGTAATGATGAAGCTAATCCGCTGCATTGACCGCAACGGAACGACAAACTCTGAATTCTACGCCATTCCAACACGAAGGATTTGTTGAACCGACCGAGCCAGACTCCGACGATGATGAGAATGAAGCCGACTCCGAGGAGGATAGAGGCGACGATGATCGTAAGCTTCGTTCCCTGCGATGTCTCTCCCGGAGCGAGGTCGTCGGCGCTCCGGTCGGACGATCCGGTCGGCCGACACACGTCAGCCTCCCTCCCTCCCGTCCAATCCTCCGCAGCGTAACTACATATGTATTTAAAAAATCTAGCGAAGTTGCCTATTGAACGAGATCGCCGGCGTCGATGGCTTAGGCCCCTTACCCGTCCAGGCATGACCCGCATTGCTGATGTGAGGTCGGGCAAGTCGACCCTCCGGGCTTCCTGTTGAACTTCCCACAGAACTCCTTGGCGCTCGTGCATCCTCCCTCCGCTGACCCAAGCTACAGAAGCAAAAAGCCGAATTCCTTTTGGCCGTAAAGATCCACCGTGGAGCGGCGAATGCACCTCGAGCGATGTGCTTTGCAAGGAAATGTTGAAGCAAAAACTTTACCTCTTTACTTTTCAGGGTATTAGAGTTACAATACTATTTAGCTATTTTTGGCGCATTTGTTCTGTTACGAGATATTTCAGAGCCCCGAAACGGGATTTTAATGTGACGAAGGTGTAGGCTGTCTTCGGATGATTTCGAAAACCCCAGAATTTAGCTCTTAAATTTAAGAATTTAACTCTTCGTATTAAAACGAACACTGTAAATCCCAATTTTGCAACGCCGTTTACCATCAATGAGGTTGTCATACAGCTGCAAAGGATGATTACTTCTTATCCCGGACACTAAAGCTGGACAAAAAACATCGTTAGGTCCCAAGACTCGAAACACTCGGCGCAACTGGAAGCAACGGAGAGCCAATCACGCCACGAAAACGACGAACACAGCGCGATCGAGCGAACCTTATTCGCTGCCTCCTGGCCTCCAGACTGGATTGCATCTAAAGAACGTTAGATTTTTCCCAGGAAAGGGCTAAAATCCTGTTGGGATGTTCTACGGGATCCCCGAGATAGAGCTGAAATGCTATCAGATACCTTCGAGAGGTGACGACGGGTGCAGGCGGTCTCATCGACCCTCCTGGGTGACCCGCGAAGTCGACTGACAATGCAGCCACTTTGAATAAGTTAGCGATGTTTACTCACGGTATGAATTTTTTTCCTATTAGACGATTGTCGTGTATAACCTGTGGTAAGCGAGGGGAGACTTTCCTTACACCTCTTGTATCTGCGAAATGAGTCAGCGAGACGGAGGGAAAAATGCCCCACCATAAATGAATCACGCCATACGTCGTATCGATAAGACGACTTACTGTTGCTAACTAAACTTCCATTTTCACTCAGTTCCCTCAGCAACAACCATCGATAGGAGAGAAACGGGGAAAGAAACTCACGACGAGGAAGAGAGCGAAGACGAGACGATGCATCATGGATCGGGTCATTTTTTGCACGAAAATTTCCATTAGACCTCTGCTGAAAACATGGAAGTGGATCAAAAGAGTGTGGGACGGCCTCACTCCCTTAGTCGGAGGAGAACTCACGTAAAGGAGGACCAGGTGTCTCAGTCGAGAAGCCCCGTGTCAAAGCAGGAATGGCACGTCGCGAACACTTTCCGAATCCTGATTTTCTGCAAACAGGAGACATCCTCGGACCGAAGGGAATCGACTGTGGGAAAGTCAGGCTTGCACGACGTGCAGGGATGTCTCCTCGCGTCATATCTCATCATACGATTTCTCTCCGCCAATGAGGAGAGGACTCAGATCGCCCCATCCAGCCATTCTTCCCGAAGGGATGACTGTACCTAATACGCATCAAGGGTGCATCGAATGTGACTGGAGGCTGAAGGACGGAAATTTTTTTTATCGGTCCTCCGCAGCATTCAGAAACGGCGTTTCTTGTCGAACGGAGAAATGGCTTTCGAGACGGCCAAGCTGGACGACGAAAAGACTCGCTAGTCTGGAGCTGAATCGGTGAAACAGTCTAGGGAAAGTCTCAAGTCGTTGCTGATCGCCGCCATTCCAAAAATCTGACGCGAACGAAGTGATCGTTTGCATGCGAGCAACCAATCCCAGGGGCGATAACTTCGGGATGAAAAAAAGAGCTTTCACCAGACATATCTGATACGATGCATGTCTGAGAGTGGGTATTTGCACAGTACATGAAACCGAACTTGTGTACACATTCATACACATTCATCTACATGATTCCCCCCCCCCCTCCTGTTTACACTCTAATCTCTGTCGTGTTCCGGCTTGGCAACTGCTTATGGCCGAGTCTTATCTGGCCTGTAGGGGGACACGCCGGAGGGGGGGGGGGGGAATAAAAAAAGAGGAATTAAATTCACATCCTCCAAAAACGAGAACTGATTCTCGTTTTTGGAGGCTGTGAATTTCATTCCTTTCCTCCCTCCTGGGTAGCCACTCCTGGGGGTTTTTCGGAGAAAAGAGACTAACCATAAGAAAGATATTGACTTGTTGATGACGAAAAGTGGCTTTTTCGTCGTTTGCGATGCTCCATTTCACCATTAAAAAAAATGAAATTAGCTGTCGTTTAATTAGGCTTAGAGTGCTAGCTCCAGTACTGTCCCCAGTGTTGCCGGATACCGTGCCGAAATTATGCCAGATTCAAGACTGTTTCAACCTTCTTCGCATGCAAACGATCACTTCGTTCGCGTCAGATTTTTGGAATGGCGGCGATCAGCAACGACTTGAGACTTTCCCTAGACTGTTTCAACCTTCGTATTGGCGTCTGGATCTTTTGTTTTTAATTTGAGGTTTTTTTGTGCTAAGTTCATGAGTTGAGCTGAGAATGAAGCGGTGGTTAGCACTTATTGATCGATGTGGTGGGATATGCAAATATCTTATCTGGACATCCCTGAATTAACAGGATGGCGCGTACCATGGATTGCATGCTTCTTGAAGGCATTCTCTCCTCAGGCCTATTCGAGATGATTCGAGGAACTCCAGATAGGCCTAACGTTACACGTCCTCTTCCCGAGGGGACGAAGCAGCTTATTTTGCACTGATGCGTTGGATCAGCGAGATCTCGAAGCAGGTATTGCTCTTCGAAGATTTTAACATGCCTAAGATAGATTGGTCGGTGCCGCGAGGGGGGAGCGAAAGGGATAGGGAATTTCTCGTTGCGGTTTAGGATGCTCTACTCCTTCAGCAGGTAGAAGAACCGACTCGTGAGGAAGCTCTATTGGATTTAGTTTTCGAGACGAACTCTGGCCCAAGACGTTAAGGTACAGGATTACTTAGGAGATTCGGACCATTGCGCGATTACGTGGAGTATCAAACGGACGAAGAATAACGCCAAACCGGCGAGGATTTTCGTACGACTACAAGAAAGCTAATTTTGAGAGGTTACGTGAATGCGTTTCAGGAATCGACTGTGAGGTGCGGTTCCGTGGGCTGACGGTATGGGGGATAGCAGTGGGGCGTTCAAGACGTTATTACAAGGCTTTATAGAGAATGCATCCCCAAGAATTCGATGAAATCGGCCAGACAACCGGTCTGGTTTACGGGTAAAATCAAAGCACTCATCAGGGATAAGAAGCGGAAATGGGATACGTATAAGCGCAAGGGAGATAGAACGGACTATGAGAAATATAGGACCATCACGAGGTCGTTGAAGTGGGAAATGAGGTCTGCGAGACTGGAGCGAGAGGAACGACTAGCTAGCGATGCTAAGAAGAACGCCAAGACTTTTTATCGATGTGCTAGTGGTAGGTGTCAACAATCGATCGGGCCTCTAATGAACAGCAGGGGGGAATCGATTGCAAGTAATAAAGATAGGGATACTTAACGAGTTCTTCGCTTCCGTTTTCACTGTGGAATCCGACTCGGCACCGACTTTGGAAGAGGTGACTTCGTCTCGCATCGAGGATATTTCCATCACCGAGGAGACCATTGTGAATGTGATAGGGATGTTGGCGGTGGGCAAGGCGACCGGCCCCGACGGGATCCCTGCGAGAGTCATCAAGGAACTTGCGAGAGAAATATCGGTTCCGCTAAGAATCATATTTGAAAGCAGCTTTTCGCGCGGTGAAGTACCTAAGGACTGGAGGCTAGTGAACGTCGTACCGATCTTTAAGAAGACTGAAAAGAGTAATCCGGGAAATTACAGGCCGGTAAGCCTCACGAGTATCCCGGGGAAGATCATGGAGAGCATACTAAGGGACCACATTTTGGACTTCCTCGAAGGAAACGCGCTCATCCGGGATTCTCAGCACGGCTTTAGGAGGCGCCGTAATCGTCTCACCAACCTGTTCGAATTCTACGATTGGGCGAAAGATGAGAGGGATAAGGGGAATCCAGTGGACATCGTCTATTTAGATTTCGCGAAAGCTTTCGATACCGTT